AACATGGCTTCCTTGACTTTCTTTACTCATGACCTAGTCATTGGTTCTTCATCCACAATCAATGAGTCCTTGTCCTTGCAAGCTCTAGTACAATGGTTCTCATCATTCCCTCCCTCTTAAAAGGATCATCCATCGAATCTCCACCTACATCAAATAAGGAAAGATCATAAAGATTGAAAGTAGCAAAAATACTGTACTCACCTAGAAGATATAATTTACAGGCATTATCATTTTATCTTTTCAAACACTTGAAACGGTTTATCTCGTCGTGGTTGTAGCTTTGACTTCATTTGAGCCAGAAAGCTTTCCTTTCTCTTTCATATGCAAGCAAACTCAATCTCCTGACTCAAATTTAACTCGCTTTCGCCCTTTATCTACTCGAAAAGCATAAAGCTCATTTTTCTTCTCAATCTGGCACCGTACCTTCTCATGGAAGGATCTCACTAACTCGGCCTTCTTCTTTCCATCTAAGCTATCTCTCTCATTAACAGGTAAATGAATTAAATTCAAAGGTGTTAGTGTATTAAAACTATAGACAATTTCAAATGGATTATAAGAAGTAGTTGAATATATTGCCCTATTATATAAAAATACTATGAATGGAAAGCAATCATCACAATGCTTTGAGTTCTTATTAACTATAGTGCACAATTGTTGTATCATAGTCCTATTAAAAGCCTCAGTTTTGCCCATCCGTTTATGGGATGACAAGTTGTAGAGGATAATAATTTAGTCCCAAACTTACTCCACAAAATCTTCTATAAATGGCTAGAGAACTTAACATCTCTATCTGAAACAGTACTTCTAGGTACCCCATATAAGCATACTAATTCTTTAAAGAATAAATTTGCAATATTAGCAGCATTATCAATTTTATGACATCAAAAGAAATGTGCCATCTTACGAAATTTATCTATCATCACAAATATGTAATCTCTTCTTTTCTTAGTCCTAGGTAACCTCAACACAGAATCCATAGGCACATCAACCCAAAGCTCACTAAGAAGGGGTAAAGATGTATACGAACCTTGAGATCAAACCTTAGACTTAATCTTTTTACAAGCGATGCATCAACTACAAACCCGATCAACATCAACTTGCATCTTAGGCCAATAGAAGTGTTCTTCTAACATCTTCAAGGTTTTCTTAATTCCAAAGTGACCCATTAAACCTCCACTATGTGCTTCATGTACTAACAATTCTCTCATTGAACACTGAGTACACATAAGGTGTTCTCACGAAATAAGTATGCATCATGCTTAAAGAATCTATCTATAGCACATTTGTCACATGATTCATATATATTAGAAAAGTTCGGGTCATTAGACAAATATTCTTAACATATTTAAATCCTAGCAATTTGGTACCGAAAGAAGTAAGAAATGCATACTTCCTTGACAATGCATCTACTACCACATCTTCTTTACCTTGTTTGTATTGAATAACATATGTAAATTGCTCAATAAATTCCATCTACCTTGAATGCCTCTTGTTTAGTTTAACTTAACCCTTTAAATGCTTCAAGGACTCATAATCAGTATGGATCACAAACTTCTTTGGCCAAGAGTAGTGCTGCCATGTCTTCAAAATTCGAACAAGTGCATATAACTCCTTGTCATACGTAGGATAGTTGAAAGCCGTTCCGCTTGGCTTTTCACTAAAGTAAGCTATTGGCCTTTGTTCCTACATCAAAGCAACTCCAATAACTATTCATGATGCATCATATTCAATTTCAAAAGTATTGTTAAAGTTAGGTAGTGATAAAGTCGGTACGGTACACAATCTATCCTTAGTTTTGATAAAAGCATGTTTTTGTTAAACGCCCCAATCTTACACTTTTCTTTACAATCTACATGAGTGGTGAAGCAATTGTGTTAAAGTCTCTAAAAAAGGCCTATAGAAATTAGCCAAACCATGGAAACTTCTTACCTCAGTTATACTTTTTGGTATTGGCCACTCCTTGATAGCTTTGATTTTCTTCTCATCCACCTCAATTCCTTTAGAACTAGCAACATAATCAAGAAAAATAACTTTTTCCATGCAACATACACTTAAAGTTAGCAAAAAGTTGTTATTGTCTTAAGACTATAAACACACATTTTAAATGTCTTATATACTCATTAAATTCTTACTATTTACCAAAATATTATCAAAGTAAACTACTACAAATTTACCTATAAATGTACACAGTACATGATTCATTAATCTCATATATGTGTTAGGTGCATTAGTAAGTCTAAACAGCATGACTAATCACTCATATAAACCATAATTAGTTTTAAAAGCAATTTACCACTCATCTTCCCTCTCATATCCTAATTTGATGATATTCACTTTTAAGATCTATTTTACTAAACAAGCATGATACACATAATTCATCTAACCTACGAATAAGTTGACAATATTTTAATATTAAGTTGTTGATTGCCCAACAGTCTGTGCACATCCTACAAGTTCAATCTTTCTTCGACATAAGTAGCACGGACATGGCACATGGATTCATACTTTCCGTTACATACATTTTGCATATCAACTCTTTCACTTGCCTTTGAAATTCCTTGGTCTCATCAGGATTACTCCTATAAGCCGACATGTTTGAAATGACAACTCCAAGTACGAAGCTAATTTGATGCTCAATACCTCGAATAGGCAGTAACCCACTAGACATGTCCTCAGAAAACAAGTCTTCCAATTCCTTCAACAAAAAAGTAGCCAAACTAGGGAGGGATACGTTAGATTTCTCAAAGTTAAGGAGTGATTCCTTAAAAAACAACAAGATCATAAGTCGGCTCTCAATTATTGTCCTCTTCAACTCACTCTCTTTTGTACAAAAATTCACTTTCGACTTTTCTCTCCTCTTAGAAGAGTCTTTTTCTTTTATTTCTTGTGGCTCTACTCTTTTTTTCCATAATTAGCAACATCACTATTTTTTCTCTTGCTCTCTTGTTGTGAAAGATCAATCTCACTCTCTTCCTCTTGCATTTTTTTTTTTTCCATAATTAGCAACATCACTATTTTTTCTCTTGCTCTCTTGTTGTGAAAGATCAATCTCACTCTCTTCCTCTTGCATTTTTTTTTATCTTCCTCATTTTTTAATTTGATTTGATCTTCATGGATTTGTTTTTGCATTAATGAAACAAGAGTAACAGATCTTTTACAAAGTTGTACCTATTCCTAAAGCCGTTATGTGTCATTTTTCTATCATATTGTCATGGCCATCCCAATAAAATGTGGCTATCATGCATAGGAACAATATCATAAACCACATCCTCGCTATACTTTCCAATTGAGAAATTCACCAAGACTTGCTTATTCACCCTAATTTCTTCACATTTATTTAACCATTGCAATCTATAAGGTCAAGGATGTTTAATCGTAGCTTAACCCAATTTCTCCACAAGTCGATTTGGACAGTTTAACTTTGTAATTTTATTTTATTATGTCGTAATTGATGTGTTTTTCTGCAATTTTCAATTTTTTTTTTTACTAAATGAATGAGAATTCAACAAAAAGTCCAACAAATTGAAAAGAAATTAATTTGGACACTAATTTAGCGCACAAACAACATTTGACTTTTTTTTAGTATATTAGTTGGGTTGAATGACTCAAAAGATGAAGATCAAGAAGCACATAAAGAACGAAGATGAGGACTCAAACAAAAAAGTAAAGGGCATAATCTTAATTTTTGGATCCTAAGTTTTGATACTAACTGATTCGAACCTACATAACAATTGTAGTTACAAAACCCATGACAAATTAAATCAAACCCGAAAACAACAAATATCATGGTTTGGAAAGCTCGATTCAATAAATTATTGAACCAAAGGATCAAGACAATCGAAAATAATATATTGACCCCGTAATCACAAAACTTATGAATCTCACTTGAATTGTTGAACGTCATAAGTCTTGATAAGTTCGGAATTAGTTCGATAATAAACAAGTTGAAAGCAATATGCCTTGCAATATCTCTCATTTGTGTGTTTTTACAATGAAAATAATGGGTCATAGTTACAGACAACCTATAAAAACCTAATTAAAAACAAAAAACAAATTAAGTTTAAAAGTTGATACCATAAAAGAATTTTAATTAAAAAAGAAGTCAAGCCAAAATTTGAAATACACGCTTCCAGGTTTTGTACTATGCGACCGACCCATAGGTTTGTGGCTTGCAGTCACATAGACCACTCAAATTCCTCATCTTAGTCTTGGTATAGGTATATGCAGCCACATGTATGGTTATACTCTGTGGTCGCATAGGCCTTCGATTCAGCTCTCGCTTCTGTTACTTGAACCAAGTTGATTCATCTTATCTCTTCTTCCATCTCCCAATATGAAATTTGTCATTTTGGTGCTTGTGATATTTTTTGTCAACCATAGCTTGAACAAATAAGAGTCTGTTCTCTTTGTCGTTTTCGAGCCTTTTTTTATTTTCGATTTTTCAAAATGATAAAAATGTGTTCTTTTTCCCATTTTCAAATGATGAATTTTGGGGAAAAAAAAAAATTGCACTAAAAACTCAAAACATAAAAAATGACGTTTTGAGCGCAAAACACGCTGAAACTAAAAACACGGGAAACAACCATATGAAAAACCAACCCTTACCTCTCTCTCACAGTCTCACTGTCATCTCTCTTTCTCCCCCGTAAGTTTTCGCCTCTCGTTCTCTAGGGTTTGCTCTACGCCTCTGCCAGCCTCACACAATTCTTCAACTTCCACGATTTCCTATTCTCCTCGATTTAGCTCCTCAGATCAGCTAGGAAATTGCGTGAAGAGGTGCAAATTCCTGTAAAAATTTCTCATATTTTCGTCTGTATTTCTTCCATTTTTCATTTGTAATTTTTTCTGCACCGAATTTATAAATACATGTATATTTATGTTTTGTATATGTATTATTATGAAAGGAAAGGTTTTGCCATTGATCAAACCAATCTCTACCAGAAATTGGGCCTTCTGAGTTCTGACCTTCATAAACTTCTCCACCATTTTCTACAGTAGGCTTCTTAATTGCTCTTTTCTTTTTAGATTAAATATTGAAATTTGCTATTTGAATTAGTGAGTGCTTTAAAATATGTATCCTGTGCATTTTTTATGAGATTTTGAAGAGCAGTATTCAAATTATATTTTACTTCTCAGTTTCAGCGAAAACATTGTTAGGAAATTATGGGCATATAATCCATTTATTTATGAATTTGCAATTTTTGATTAGATAACAATCTAAATAACTACTGGGTTTTTTTAAAATCCTTTTTCTTTGACTTTTAGTCGTAAGAAATAATTTGTTTTGAGTAAATAATTTCGACGACTATTTTTCCCAGATTTATCATAATGTAATAGAGTCTTATACTTATGTTTAGCTCTATATTCTCCCTGTTTCAATTCAATAAATCTAATTTGTAAACGATGATCTTATCTGTATTCTATGATTTGTTGGATCGTTTGTTGTTGATGCTTGTTTGTGTATAGATGTTGATGCTTATAATTATGGGTACATGTGCTAGGTATGCTTTTGAGCAATTGGTGGTATGTGACTATAATTAAATACATTAATATGTCCTCAAATTGCCTACGGAAGGTCTTATATATTTGATGGTAATTTGATGTATATGAATATAGTTTCAACATGGGTGATCACAGAGTTAGGAATAAGGATCCAATGTCATGGATGATTCCATTGATGAATTAGCAACATTTATCAATTAAGCAATTTATTTATTTAGTTCTGCATTTGATACAGTCGGAGTAGGAACCAACTGTGTCAATTAAGCAATTTATTTATTTAGTTCTTTTCATCAACTTGAGTTGTTCTTAACCTGCTATAGCTGGAAAAATGAGGGTGGTGAGTTGGAATAATGCTTGCTAATATGGTTAAACTTTTTGCATAGGATTTTGTCATGTTCTTGCCATTATGAGTTGCACCCTTAATAAATATCACATCAATTTGGTCCAAGAATAGCATTATTTTTTTGTTAATTCCTAGATTTTGTTATGGTTTTCTGTGATTTTTTTTTTTTTTTTTTTTTTTTTTTTTTTTTTTTTTTTTTTTTTTTTTTGGATGAATTAGGCTTATCTTTATTTCGAGATTTGACTCTCTGCCTATTATGTTATTACGGGAAACCAGTAGCTGTGGAAATTAAATGGAACTTATAATTTGGGATTTAGTTGATTTGGAAATACGGAAATTGAATTGAACTTTGATTTTTGAGTTTCAGGTCTTTTGCATGTTTAAATTTTGAAAAGTAGCTTATTGTTGTAAGTTATTCATTATAAGAAGAAAAAAATGATGGTTGTATGTATATGATTTATTGGATTTGTGTTGATTGAATCAATTAGCAGCAACTACAACAAGAAATTGGTAGATTGAATATGTAATGGACTGGATTTTCTGAATCTTGAGCAAGGAGAGAGAAAATTATCGTTTTTGTGGTGTTGGGACAGAAAGCAATGTTGTCCGAGAGTGGTGACCATCAGACGGTCCCATTATCAGTGTTGTTAAAGCGGGAATTGGCTAATGAGAAGCTGGAGAATCCTGAGATTTTGCACGAGTATGATCATATCACTCTTCTTTTTGTTTATCATTCTATTTTTCATTGTAGTTTGTTATTTGTAGCTGTGGACCTTCACATTTCCCTGGATTTTAGCATCTTATATCAAGTTAGTCGTGTTCAGACTGGATGCTATTATCAACTGTCTTGATACAACAATAATTTTAGTATTGATGTTGAGGATTGAGCAGTTTTTGTGAATTATTCATTTGTTGCTAAAAGCTCTTAACAGATACACTTGGGAACATTATTTCGAACTAAAGGCAGTGTCTAGCTTTAACCCCATAAAGCTGTTTAGTAAGTACCATCTTCAAAAAATGGAAATTCCAGACTTCATTATGTTACTTAGACATGTAAAAGAGTACAAACCTACCGTGTCTACATTCTACTATTTTCAGCAACCCTCACTTGGGTAAAGTATGGATGTGCCTGGGATACGATCAAGAGTGCTTTAGAAATTTTTATTAAGCCAAATAATAGATTAAAAATGTGAATTTATTCAGCAGCAGCAGCAGCAGAAATGTGAAGAAGAGAGGCTTAACAATATTTTAAACAGCTGTTTGTAAAATTTTTTATCTTCAAGAGTGTAATGCCAAAACCTAGTGCAATGTTAGTGTATTATCCATTTTAATCCAAGCCCCTGTTTGAGCCCCATTTTTACCTCATTAAAATGAAAAATATGACCGTTATTCATCACATCAAGCCACCATTTTTGAATTTCTATCTCTGGTGTGGGGCTCATAACGGCTCTATTTCTCATTCTCATTCTCATTCTCATTCTCATTATAATTTGGCTCAAACGGGCTCCAAAAATGAAAAGCCCAAATCAGAAATTTGAATAAACAACTAAGAGAGCAAGAGAAAGAGAGGCCAAACGCAAGATTAGCTTCACTTGATCTCTGATTACTCTTTGAATATGAAATTATTAGATGCTATTATGAAAATGCAATCTTTACTTTTTTGGGTGGCCCTTGATCCCTGCATCTATTTTTTTTTTTTGTTCTCGGAGATTCAACTTTGAATAATTTGTTGCAATTTCCATGTGTTTGAAAATTCTGATCTATGGTTATCTTCATCACTAATTGACTCCACGTTTTAGGTGTGAATCTGGCGTTCTCTTAATTAGAATTTCACGTCAAATTGCTCAATACGACTTTGACATTTCTTGTTTCACTTAATTGTTGGTAGTTCCTTCTTCATTTTCCTTAAGTTGTACCCATGAATAATCTTTAGCCATTGTAACATGCTGCTCTTCATGTAGTGAAATGTTGAGCTCTCATGTGAGACGTGGATGAGGTTCTTACACTTTCTCATTCAGCTGATGATTTCACGGGTCAAATAAGAGATAAAAGGATATGGAACTTTATGATTTGAAGTATAAGAAGAAACGAAATTTTTTTATTTTTTCTATATGATACATGATTGTAAGTATAAGACTACATACATTGGTGATGTACAATTCAATATAGAAGGGATTGTTTCACATTTGTACATACAAATGTATTATTTGCATCAAAATGACTATACACGTTTGAAGAAATTTGTACGCTTGAGGTTTCAATTAAGAGAAGTTTACATTTCACGAACATATTTCATGTTATTGAATTTCAACTTATGTTAGTGGTGGAAACGAAAAATAATTACAAATGAAATTGGTTTTAAGAACTTCAAAGGTTATATATTTGGCTCATATTTATAAATACTCAATTCATTTCTCATCAGCACTTTATTAAGGCCTTGTTTGGTATACATTAATGTAACAATGAGAATGAAAAATATAGCTGTTACGGACCTCATACAAGAAATAAAAAGTCAAATATGATGACTTGATGTAATGGATAAAGATCATATTTTTCATTTTAATGGATAAATAATGGGAAACAAACGGGGGCTAAAGAATGTATGGTTAAAAATGAGTTAGTTAATACATTTCATCAACATTCAAATCATTTTTCACTAACTTCAAAATTTATATGTTATTTAATATTATATTAACATTAAAATATTAGAATTTTTGAATAATCAAATTTCTTGAATAAAATATTATAAAAAATATTCTCAAAATTTCAAAGTAAATGCGTTTTCCAATTTTATGTTTTCAGAAATTATTTTCCAAAATGGTAAAAAGAACGAATTTTCAATATATTCAAAACAGTTGCTCAAAACACAAAATGAATTCAAAACTCAAAACTACAAAACTGAAACACAAAGAAAACCGTCCCTAAATCACTAATCTTCCCTTCACAATTAACAATCTTTGTCCTTGTTAGCTCTTGTACCATGGATCATTGGTTCCCATCAATTAACTCTCTAAATATATAAAGTATTTTGTATTTAAAGAGTTTTTTGAAAATGCTCTTATATGATTTATTTAATTGAACATATCATGTACTGTTTCATTGAGTGATATTTTATTGTTAGTGGTGCTATATGACATATTTCTTTCTACATAATTGACGTAAACTGCATTTTGATTTACATTTTCATTCATAGTAACATTTTGGAATATAAAAATGTTGCCACAATACGAAACTTCTTCTAAATATTTAAAAAAAAAATTTATTACCAAAATCTTAAATTTTGAAAAATAAGTTATTATGGAAATCTAAAATTTAATTTTTTAAATTGCACACAAGGTCCCCAACCTTTGGAAAAGTTGAGATCATGTCCCTGTAACCCTTCTGATTTTTGTTTGCAGCATTTGAGAAACCAGCAGATTTTGTCTCTTTCATCCAAAAGTGTGTTAGATTATATAAAATGAAATTCTTACCTTTTTAACTTAAATGAACATAAAGAAAGTACAAAAACTTCATTAAAAAAATTAAAAATAAACTAATAAAAAAGACCAAATGAAAAGAAAATAGAGTGAAAAAAGTTTGCTATCTCCTTATCCCCTCCCCATTCCGTCTACCCAATCGATGAAAAGTGGGTCTTCCCCTTAGTTTTTTGGCCACCCGTAGAAAACTTATTTCAATTTTTTTCTTTTTCTTTGTTTTCTTTTGCTTAATTTGGGGAGAAAGATTGTTATGATATACCAATATCCAATATGATAGAGGTTTAGGCAAAAATGTGAGGAGGTTCATAATTTTTAAATCTCAAAGGTGAGGACGAAAATCAGACTAATAAATTAGTTGGGGACTAATTGGTGCAATTTTTCCAAAGTATAAACCCTAATTCGAGTCGCCCGTTCATTCCATTCCCTTCCTTCACGACCCGTTAAACCCTAGTCGAGAAATTCTTCCCTCCAAACGAAATTGTAATCAACGAGAATATGGATGTTAATGAAAGCCTAAACTCCACTTCCGCAACTGATAAACCCGCCAAAATCAGATTCGAGTACGAGGATGATGAATACATCGAGGACGAAACCATTGAAGAAGCCCCCACTGAGTGCTCGAATCTGGAGGAAGACTCTGTCATGTGCATGCCGGATGATTCCGCGATTGATGGCGATAAGACTAGCGCCGATTATTATTTCGATTCCTACTCGCACTTCGGTATTGCATTATTCTTTCCGTAAATTGTTTTCTTTCCGGATTTTTACTGTGTTTAATGCGTGAGTGGGTCTAAATATTACCGTTGAACTGGTCCTAGTGCGGGGATGTGATAGTTGAGATGCAGATCTAGTATAGATGTTGTGCATTCAGGACTCTTTAGTTGGAGTTATTACCTTCTTCTGCATTCGGTGTTTTTATCTATCAGTTCATTTCTATTTGTGGAAGAATTAATGTTTACATAATGGCATTTTTGTGCTGATATTGACTTGGTATTCGGAATTTGAACTAAGATGTTAAAAGGCTGAGGGTTGTTAGGGATAGGCTCACCCTTCTGTAAAGATGTCTTGTTTCGCCTCTCTGCTATTTTTAATTAACTGTCTGAGTGTCTCATAGAACTTGTGTATATATGTTTCTCGGATTTCCCTTTAATTGAGCTGCTTGGAACCTAATTTTCCCCAAGGTCCATTGTGTACGGATGTTATATTTTTATATTCATTTTATTTTTATTCTCTTGTCATCTATTTCTCGTTTTAGATTTTCCCTTTCTAAATCAATAGGCACATTCTACAACTACACTTGACATACAGGACAGGGCCCCCACCTACATGGCGCCCCTGTAACGTTGATCTTTTTCCCACATTCTATGTTTTCTTACAAATACTATTTCCTTAGCCCTTGTTTGACCCCCATTAATTTTTATTCCATTACATTTAATTTTTCTCTCTCTTATTTTCAACCACACAATCTTCCATAAAATAATATTACACGTAAATCAAAAAAATTTCCTTCTTTTTCAACCACTCATTTTTCGAAAAAATACTATTCCACCCATTAATTTTTTCACGTAATGGGGGCCAAACAGGGGCTTATGTTATCATAGTATGAAGTTTTGTTGAGGCTGGAATTTTTTATATAAGTAGATGATGAAAGGTTGAAGGTTCATGAAAGTTAGAATTTGCTTCGTGCTTGGGGTTTTAATAATTTTTTTTGAAGGCAATTTGAAGAAGTAATAATTGTTCTTTTGTTTCTTCTTGTTTGCAGGTATACATGAAGTAAGTATCCAAATTGGATGTTAAGCTTATGGAGTTATGCTTTTGTAACATTTCTTTCAGCGAATGTGTTTGCTCATCAATTTTTGAAGCCATGTAAATTTAGTGATTATGCGCCCATCATTCAATTGTGTCTAGGGGAAATCAGTGTTCCCCCCCGTTTTTGTTTCCATTTCTACCCTTGATTTGGGGGTTCGAAAGATCAGAATGCCCTGACATAAATTTCCCCAATAACATTAAAAAGGGCTTTTTTCGTCTTTTGCACAATGTGGTGGGAAAGCAGTTCAACTCTTGGTCAGATTTGTGGCAAAAATGATAAATATGTTAAAGGGGCTTTATTGAATTTGGGGCAATGCCAAAAAAGTGATTTTCTTGCTTCAGCGGATTGAAATAGGGGCTGTAACTGGATATTTTCACTAGATTTTCGCACTGGGATAAAAAAATGTCTTTATTTTCTAGGTTTACTGTTATGACATTTATCTTGTGGTTGGAGGCTTGATAGCCTTGAAACTCTTGATATTCAAAATACCATCCCAAAATTGCAGCTGTAATTCATCTGAAATACTTAATGCAGGAAATGTTGAAGGACGTAGTGAGAACTAAAACATACCAGTCTGTTATTTATAAGAATCGCTTCCTTTTCAAGGATAAGGTAGTCCTTGATGTGGGTGCTGGGACAGGAATCCTCTCACTTTTCTGTGCTAAAGCTGGGGCTAAGCATGTTTATGCGGTATGTGTTCTCTTGTTTCATTGAATCATTGTTCCTGTAGTTCATGTGATCTTGTCAAGTTCATATAATAAGTCCAACTCAGCTTTTTAGTTTTTTCCTCTATAAAAGGTCCAAGGAGTTATTTTTTCTATCTCATCATTGTTCATTTATTTTTAAAAATGAGCAAAGTAATATGTAGGTGAACTTGAATGCTGGCTACCTACCATTCTGGAGATATTTAGTCGAAGGATTTACCCATAACTAAGTTGCTAGCGACTGGGTGATATTAAAAATTACTCCTTACAAAATATTAGATTCGAGCTCAGGACTTCTTTAGGAATTGAAATAACTTTATTTTACAAGGTTACTTTATTTACAAAATCCAGAACCTCGAAGGTCCAAGTTCCTTTACTTGTTTCTTACTTTGAAACCTTCCCAACTTCTCTAGTGTAAAGTTAGTAAAATCAATGCCGTTTAGATCTTTTTGCTTTGGTAGATCTTCAGTTATGTAGCAATTGAAGTTGTGTTCTTTAGTACATTCCATGCTAAGTTCATGAATGATGTGTTATTTAAGGTGTATTTTGGTTTGATGGTGGATATTCACTTTGTCATGTATTTCCCTTGATCAAATATCAAGATTGCATTTTTTTTGTTGTGCATGAGAAATTGATGCTTATGCTTTCATCATATTAGTGGGTTATGCAATTCTGATTTTTACATTATTATTGTCAAAGTGGATCACAATCTTGTATTACTTCATGGCAAGCTTGTCTTTACATTTTAATAATCTAATTCAAAGAGTTTTACAGTTAGTGACAATAATTGTGGTAATGGTGACTAGGAAATAGGTATGCAGAATATTCATGTTGATGTTATGTAATGTATCAAATGCTAATGAAATTATCTGTACATTTGCTTGTAAAGTTACTTTGATAGTTGCTTTGCATGTCATCTGGATTGAGATTTGTTTTCCTAATAAATATCTGATTTTACCTTCTTCAAATCCAGGTCGAATGTTCTAGCATGGCGGATATGGCAGAGGAAATTGTAAAGCTTAACAATTTTTCAAATGGTAGCTCTTTGCATCCAAAAGATCCTGAATTATGTGTCATTTTCTTTGTTGTGCTTCACATTTGATTTAGTCTTATGGGGTCAATTGTCCTACTTTTGTTGTTTCAGTGATAACAGTTCTTAAGGGAAAGGTTGAAGAGATCGAGCTGCCAGTTGCTCAAGTCGATATTATTATTTCTGAATGGATGGGATATTTTCTGGTCTATGAAAACATGTTGAACACTGTCTTGTACGCTCGTGACAAGTGGCTGGTAAGTTTCTGCGAAGATTTCAAACTCATGGTTTACAACTTAGTTCTTAGTTATGGAATGGTTTCCTAATGCTAGCTAGCAGCACATAGATAAGGCTATTCTGGAAAACTGTCCAATTCAATCTGTAAAGATTTTTATTGTTGTAACTTGCTCTGTGTCAGGTCAAAGATGGACTTGTCCTGCCAGATATGGCCTCCCTGCATTTGACCGCAATTGAAGATGCTGATTACAAGGAAGACAAGATTGAATGTGAGCTTAAACACTTGGCACATGGATTAATATCAACTGATATGATATTAAACTTTCACGTTCATGCACAAGGGTGTGTTCAAATTCTCTGACTTGTCTGTAGGTGCCATTGGTATCGGCAGTTCTGGTGTTGCATTATACTTTTATTTGCTCTAATTTGTGCTTTTTGGTTTTAATTATAATCTCCTTATAATTTAAAAGTCTAAGTCTAACTTTAATTTAACCTCACAATTTGTAGGATCTACAACTACTTCCCACGTATTCACCGCTCATTTTTATCAATTTATAGTTTCAGCAGCTTATAATATTTCCCAAACAAGCACGTCATCTTCTTGGTCTTTTTTTCATACTTGACAGTTTGGAACAATGTGTATGGATTTGACATGAGCTGCATTAAGAAGCAAGCCTTATCGGAACCTCTTGTTGACATTGTGGAGCAGAAACAGATTGTTACAAACTGCCAGTTACTCAAGGTTGGGCTTCTTCACTTCGTCTCGGTTGTCAAGTCTAATTTATGATAATTTGTTGTGTCTAACATGGCACCCTGAAATCTTTTTTAGCGTCCTAAACCAGATCCATGTCCTAATTTTACAGACAATGGACATCTCTAAGATGGCTCTAGAGGATGCTTCCTTCACTGCACCTTTTAAGCTTGTGGCAGAACGTGATGACTACATCCATGCTTTTGTTGCTTATTTTGATGTTACGTTTACTAAATGTCATAAGTTGTTGGGCTTCTCTACAGGTTTGAGATTTTTTTTTTCCTCAACTTTGTTCACTATTGTAGTTAACGTTAGAATTCTGTGCTTCTTGTAATTGTACTTTCCCTGAATCCTTCTATGACATGATCAATGTGTAAAATGTAATTCTGAATCTCCTACAATCACTTTGAGGAATTCAATTTTTTTTTTTTCTTTTGAGGACAGACTACCATTAGAAATCAATTATTTGCTTTTCTTGACAAGAATACCACTGTTAAACCTATAGGAGAAACGGATGGTTTAGCCACCACTGCTCATCTTTGTTAGTTTTTTATTCAAAGCATGAACTGTTAAACCATTTTAAACACAATGTACTCAATGTAGGATTTCTGTTTCCGACAATGACTAGTATTCGATATGTAGGGCCCAAGTCACGAGCTACTCATTGGAAACAAACAGTTCTCTACCTTGAAGATGTGCTGACAATATGCCAAGGGGAGGCGGTTGTAGGGACTATGACTGTTGCACCTAACAAGAAGAATCCTCGGGATGTGGATATAATGCTCAAGTACTCACTGAATGGACGGCATTGCCAGGTCTCAAGAACACAATATTACAGAATGCGCTAATCTCTTTGTGATTGACGATCTAAAATGATTGTGGTATCATCTTTGTCCTACTGATTTGGGAGAAGAAACGAGAATTCATTCACTTGCTGTTGAAAGCAGCTGTAATGGTCTAAAGCAGCAGCACACAGATTTGCAAAAAATCAGCAGGATCATATATCTTCGAGTGTTTGATTTTGACTGGCATTATAATTTTAAGGATTTATATTTATGTTAAAATTATTTTTTGTCAAATGATGCGTTTCTTTCCATCAGTTTAGTCACTCATTTAATCTGTTTCAAAAAGCTAAGCCAAATATATATTTTTTGCTGAAGTTGGTCATTAAGGGGGTGTATTCAACTGAGATTTTTAATGAATTTTTGGGATTTAAAAAGTTTAAGGGTATTCAATTTACACTTTTTGAGACTCTCCAAAAGTATTGGTCTACTCAATTGAGACTTTTATAAAAAATTTCTAAAACTCACTGCGCATTCAATTAAAACTTTTTAAAGGTCAAGAGGTATTTAAATTTTAATGACTCTTAGGAGTAACATGAATTTTCAAAATTTGTTTATCATTAATTAGGAGATTTTTGGGGGAATTGCACAAAAAAAAGGTTCTTTTTTTTTCTTTTTTTATCTAATATTTTTTTGTCCTTATACAAACGTTAGAGGTATGATTAAAGTTTTTTTTTTTTTCCTATGGATTATATTTGTTTTCATTTCTCTCTCTCTCTCTTTGTTTATCTCTATTTTTTATGAAAAATTAAAGTGGGTTTTATTACTTTTTTTTCCTTTTTTCATTCTTTTTTTTTTTTTGGTAAAAAATATCTATTTATTATTAAAGTATAAAATTTTATATACAAACTTATAATAAAATTTAAATACATTGACATTTTTTAATATTTAAAGTGTATTATGTAGACAATATTAAATTTTTTTTTTATCATATATATGTATGATTTTTTTCATCATTTATTTTATTAATGTCTTAAATTTTTAATCTCTTTAAAATAAATTTTTATTGTATGAGGAGGGGAAGGAGAAGAAAATTTGTAGGAACTATCACTTGACAATTTCATATCATTGCACTAGATCCTCGTAAATTTCATTTTAAATGAAAGTCTTCAAAATGTTTTTTGAATTCTACAAAAATTTATAAAGTTTTAAAATAAAAGTCTATAGAAATCTACGAAAAACTTCCACTAATTCTATAAAAATCTTTGAAAGATTGACGAGATTCACATAAATCGAAGTTCATCAAAGTATTCAAAAATTCCAATTGAATACAATTTGAGTCCATTCGGTAGGAAATGTATGAGCTGAATGTGACTATGTCAGGCAGTGACATTGCATATTGCAAAGGCAATATCTCATAAGTCGTGTATCCATTTGGGGGAAACTTTGCAGATTTCATATGGAAAGTGTTAGCTTTACTTTGGATTGAACAGAGCATCATTTGGATGTCGGAAACATGGCTTATGAATACTATGATTCCTTGATCAAAAAACTTCTATTCGTGAGTCAATAAAGGGGCAGACTATCCTTATGCACTAGATGCACAATCATTAGTGATAACTAGGAGCGTACTTTAGGTACCTTTAGGGAAAGCTAAAGTACTGGTACAAGTTGGAAACCCATCGAATGGCATAGCCCTTCGTGACCTTTATTGGGCATCCGAAGAGGACCCGAGGTTTGCTATTCGGATGCCCAGGTTATCAATAGAGCATTGCTATGCTTTGATGACTACAAGAAGGATATGGTAACACCTCTATGTGGAATCAAGGAAATCACTCCAATGGCCTCGTATGCTAATTCGTGTGTATTGGCTATGAGTTTTAGCCCTGTCGCAAGGTTCGTTGGCTTGGATATCAATCGTGGTCGATGTCACATAGCTTGGGGAATGTGGCAAGATTTCAACATTTGGGAATGAGTAATGCTATGAATGTACTTTTAATTAGCCATGGATAGATAGATGACTTGACTTGGGCTAGACACCGATGAAGAGCATGGCGTCAAGCATAAAGCTAAAATGCTAGTAGAAATCGACAAGCACAAGGATTGCATTGCAGGGCATGCGAATAACCCCCCCCCCCCCTTCCCCAATGATTTGGACAAAGCTAGGGGAGATCCTTTGTAGCGAATATGCTTTGAGAGAATCGTATGTTGTGCATGAGCATGATGGGCAAGTTTGAAGATGTGCATTACGAATAGACAAGTGCATTCACATTAAGTGCAGCATAGGGATGCGTTTAAATATTCACACGATAATAAGCTTTGTGGGTAGAATATGCAAAAGGTCATGTCTAGAATCGTAATACAAAATGGCGAAAGGTATTGCGAAAATAATCCTACTAAAACTTAGAGAGTTGATTAGTGTGAGTTGGTATCAAAGAGATTATTTGTGCATCGTTAGAGTATTCTGTGTGGACCAAAATACTATTGTAATAAGAAATATACCAAAAGAACTCACCAGAGTGCTATAGTTGAGACATAAAACTCTAGAAAAACTAGAACTATTTTAATTTACAATACGATTGTGAGAACTCATCAGAGTGCCATGGTTGAGACATAAAACTCCAAAAAAACTAGAATTGTGTTAATTTACGATTATGAATTTATGAGGGATTGTTGTCGTGAGCTTTAAACTACTTCAATAGTTCCAATTATGGATTGTGCATAATTTTGGGAATGTTGAGCATCGATTGCTTATAAAAGTAGCAAATGTTGGCTTCAGATATTGAGCTTATTGTATATGAATTTGGAGTAAACGATAATATTGCACCATTGACGACTATAGACTCGGTGAGGGCTATGAGCCTTTTTTTCTATTGTTCGTTGTTATTTGTTCGGTGAAATAATGTTGCGTCAATCTAAGGACTTCTCCATGTTGAACATTCCTTTTTTTACTTTTTTTAATTAAGTGTCGATGTTCGAACTCGTCAATTTTTCATCTAGCTCTAGTCTAAGTAATTATACTTGATAGATTCAATTAAATGAATCATGTGACATTGCATTTAAGTAAATATATCATTTAATATCATGTACTTGTCACCTAAACTAATGCTTAACAACAGTGGTAGCATTACTCTTTTTCTTAAGTCGAATTGGATGCATCAATGCACCTCAAGATTTTTCATTTTTCTTTTTGTCAAAACCTTGCACCAATTAATTCTTGTCATTTATTGAACTTGGAATCTTTCCATACTTTCCTAAAGTCTCCATCTTCGTTGAACCTATCTTGTCTAGGTAAAAATGAGACATTGACCTCAACTCAGTGGCAAATTCCATAGTTTAAGCAGTCAAATCAAGTAGAAAATTGATTTTTTATTTTTTATTTTAATTATTAGATGATTTATTTAGATTAGTTTCCTAGAATCAATCTTTGTTTAGAATAGCGAGTTAGGGCTTGTAATTTTCCTTTAAAAGTTAGAAGAGTTTCCCGAATGTATAAACAGCAAAATCCAAGTTAGAATTATGATTCTTGTAACTTGGTTGTTTATTAATAGAAATTCTGGAGTTTCTAAATTCTTTCAATTATTTATAACTCCTAACAAATCAACGAATGATCAAGCTTTAATTATCTTTCACATATTTCTGCAGCACCAGTTTGGTATCAAGATGGTGCTTGTGAAATCTAGATAGCGAAAATCAAGCGACGTGATGAGTTAACACAATTGCGTCAACAAGTGATAGTATCAGAACAAATGTTAAAGAGAACAATTGTATCAACAAATAGATATGTTGAAGTGGTAGATTGATGATTTTCCATTTGACGACCGTAGAGGCATAGAAGAGGATGACTTCGATGATGACGATAACATTCTTGCTCGCTTCAATTCCGACTTATGGGTTATTGATTTAGGCGACTATTATAACTATTTGCTTATTTTGGAGACCGCATGTCAACGAAGATATTCAAGAAGATTATATTCAGAAAAAAATATTGATCGCGAAAATTGGTGGTTCACCAATATCAAAAATACGGATTTCTCGTATTGAAATTGTGGTTAGTTTCACAATCGAGCTTACTATTTAGATAGAGAATGAGCAATTGCCAATTGTTGACAAATTGATAATTTAGAGACAATAATAATTATTGTGGGGCAAGAGTTCACGTTGCAATATTCGAAGACAAACCTTTTTATATCTCGAGAGAATGATGCAATTGAATATGGTGAACTAATCAACCATGCCGAAATTGAATGAATAATATAACTTTTCTGAGGATAAATGAGCCAATGAACTCATGGGCTAAAGCCCTCGAACTCACCAATTTTGTGGCCAAGTTCCATTGTTTAAGTTGTCAAATTGGAACTTTAAATATTTAGAAGGAAGTCAATTTTTATTTTTTATTTCTTTGTTTTAGTTAATAGGAAACTTGTATAGATTAGCTTCAGAGAGTTTGTCTCCATTTAGAATACTAAGTTACTTATTTTCTTTTAAAACTAGAACTAGCGTACATTATAACGTGATTGTTTTATATATATATAAAATAAAATAAAAATTTAAGAGTTACTCAATTCTTTCAATTACGTAGTATTCATAGTAAATTAATGAATATTTGATGATTAAATTTTTTATATTCAATTGAATCAACGGATGTTGTTGACCTCGGAAATTGGACCTTTCATGTGGCCAATCGATAGCCACTTCACGTATTCCTCCCTGCGCACAATCAACGCACGGTCAGATGCACACGGCCGGGACCAGCGGGGGCAGCGGCAGCCGTATGCACTCTGACGGACAAGTTAGGCTCAGGTGATCGGAACAGTACCAAAGTTGTGCAAAATAGTGGGGAGGAGAATATATGTTTGCTTGCTATGGAGTGCTAAGTAGTAAGAGTTTATTTACCTTTGCCTCATGCCAAGCCTTGGGTATTTATAGATGAGGAGAGTCCTTGGATGTGGGATACGTGTATACATCTGACGATATGAGGCGTCTGCTCATAGGCGTCAATCAGCCGCGTTTATAGAGTGGATGGGTAATTGATTCTCCCGAATTGAGTTGACATAAAGTTGATACGTCATATCAACTAGCCTCATGGAGACGTCAAATCACTTTAAACCTTAGGTGCAGAAAGGATTCAAACAAAGATCTATTCTGAAATTGGAGGCAAATCCTCTGGCAGAGGTCCTTGGAGTGCATGTCTCCTCGGATTCAGGGGCAAGGCGCTTCGATCAGTCCCTCAAAATTGCCTATGCCTCGTAGTGTGATAGCAGATCGTCACCGTTGGTGAAGTCATTTCGGAACCACTTCGGATGAGTGTTCC